TATATACAAACGATGGGTGTATGAAAACAAATTAAACGAAAATGTTGAAACTCTAAAAAAGTTTATTGTTAAAGAATCAAATTGCAGCAACGGAAACTCTACATGGTTTAAAAAAATATATTATCAAAAAAATATATATATATTATATTCTATTGTTAGCAAAGCACATAAAGGAAATTCTCACTTTGGTAACAGTGATCAAAAAAAGAAAATCAATTGGATACAGAAATGTTCTGTTTCCAAAAACGATCATTAAATATGGGAGTGTCCAACATTTCAAAACCAAAATATTAAAGAAAGATAGAAAACAGCTAAGAAAAATAATATCTGCTTCAGATATTTGAATTCTAACCATTCGTCAAAAGAATGCAAGAACACAAGAATTTGTGGGATTGATGGCTGTACAGATACCCATAATTGTTTGCTTCACAAGAAAAGACATCAAAATGAAACAATTTCTGAAGACTTCAAAGAAAAAAGACATGATATTAGAAAATTCTCACACGTCGAACATCCAATTTCATTCAAATCACGTCATGAACTACATATCTCTTAGAATGGTGCCAGTTATTCTTTGTAATATAAAAGTTGTGGTAAACCCATTGCTTGACTTTGGAAGTACCAAGACATATTTGAACTCTGATGTAGCAACTGAGTTGTCACTGCATGTTAAAACCAAAAAGGTAACTGTAAACATGATAAACCGAAAAATTAATTCTTTCAAAACGATGCAGGTAGAATTTCAGTTGGAATCGTTGAATGGAGAAATAAAAATTACAGTGGAAGCTTTTACAGTTAATAATGTAACTGGAAACTTAAAAGCAGTTAATTAGGCAAATTTGTCAAACAGTTGGAAACATCTAAGAAAAACCGAAATCCCAAATATTGGACCAAAACCAAAAATTGACATTCTAATCGGTGTGGATTACGCTGAGCTGCACTGTACAATTAAGGAAGTAAAAGTAGGATTTAATGAACCAGTGGCTTGCCTCACGCCGCTCGGATGGACATTTGTTGGTGGTACTGGTGGATCCTTTCAAACCCATTTTACGAAAATAATATCTAGTACAAAGGAATTAGAAGACGCAAACAACGCCATTAAAAAATTATGGGAAATTGAAGGCGATGAAGAGATGCAGTTCAAAAAAACAATGAAATGTCCGGAAGACTCTACCGCTCTTAATATATTAGCTACTTCCCTATGAACAGAGAACAGAAGGTATGAGCTAAAATTACCATGGAAAGGTAATAGACATTTGGACAAAAATTATACAATGGCGTTAAACAGACTACAAAACACGGAAAAACGCCTAATGAAAAACAAAAGTCTTGGAGAAAAGTACAATAATATTATTAAGCAGTATCAAGAAAAAGGATACTTGGAGAAAATCAATAAAGGGAATCTTGAAGATGGTTGGTACTTACCACATTTTCCAATTCTTTGTACTGATAAATCAACTACAAAAGTCAGAATTGTGTTTGATGGATCTGCAAAATATAATGGTAAATCAATTAATGATGTTATTTATCAAGGTCCAAAACTTCAACAAGACCTTGTGACTGTTTTGCTGAGATTTCGAAAATACCCAGTGGCTTTAGCTTTTGATATAGCAGAAATCTATATACATATGACCAACAAATTCTTATATAAGGTACCAACAAATTTTATGGAGAAACCTAAATCCAACAATTGAAAATTTCCTTTGGCTACATATTCGGTATTATTAGTGATCGCCATCGAATCAAACATTGAGCACTCTATAATATATATATATATATATATATATATATATATATATATATATATATATATATATATATATATATATATATATATATATATATATATATATATATATATATATGTATGTATATATCAGAGTACTAACAGTGCCATGTTGTACATGAATGGTGTCCCTGTTTGCACTTTTGGTGTGCATTGTCAAGGCCACATTTGAAGCCCTTTGTTACGGCTTAGGGTTTATTAATAGTAATGAGGCAACTGCTTGGACTGAAATAGTGTACTGAATACTATCTATGCTTTGAGTCAAGTTCTTTAACAAATTTAAAAATGATTAAAGTACAAAAACTATAAAACACAAAAAATCATCGTCATCACCAAGTTCTCTAAACCTATCATTGATTAATATTTATGGTCTTCGAAGTAACTTTTTTTTCTGTTGAATCTTATCTCTAGCAAAGTTCACCAGACCTACTTGCTTTTTGTGAGACTAATTTGAGTTCGGCTCTCTCATCTTGTGTTCTTAGTGTTGATGGTTATCTTCCTTTAATTCATAAAGGTTCCCAATAGTGACATGCTTGGCCTGGGCATTAAAATTTGTAAGAACTCACCTATTTGTTGGGAAACTAGATTTTAATCTACTGACTATTCTTTTATGTGCTTTGGTTTTCACCACTTCACTCTATTGCTTTTCTCTTTGTTCTATATCGCTCTCCTTCATCTCAAGACTGCACTCTTCTTGCTTCTATTTCTGATCATATTGACCAAGCCCTCTGTCTTTATCCATCAGCCAATATTGTTGTTGTTGGTGACTTTAATGCTCATCACACTAAATGGCTTGGCTCTAGTGTCAGTGATTCTACAGGCTTCAATGCCCACAACTTTTGGCTTTCTCAATCTCTAACTCAAATAGTCAACTTTTCAACTCGCTTTCCTGACAATTTCCAATTCGAAACCATTACTTCCATATCTATCAGCAAAACAATTCTCCAGAAAACAGATGTCTGTTTGCTATTGCCAGAAACCATTGTATAATGGTTTTGTCAAAGCCAAAGCCCACTATTCTCATGTCATGAAATCTCATATTTCATTATAAAAATTAGGCTCTCATGACTTCTGGAGAATCTTTAACAGTATCAATAATAAGGGCAAATCTGTTATTCCACCTCTCTTGTATGGTTCAGACTTTGTCACCTCACCTAAAGACAAAGTTGAATTGTTTGCTAAAAAATTTTCATCAATATCATCTATTGACTCCACTAGTTACGTTCTACCTGATATAGCCGATATATCACTCCAGCTTCTGTATCTAAAGTGATTTCCTGCTTAGACTCTCTCTGTTATAGTCTTGCAGAAGTATTCTCTGGAGCTGTTGCCTATACCTTTAAAAGTATTTAACAAGTGCTTATCAGAGTCTTGTTTTCTAGCCTGCTGGAAAGCGGGATCTGTTATCCCTATTTTCAAAAATTCTGGAAAGTGATCTGACAAGTCTAACTATTGTTCCATTAGTCTTGTTCCTATCATAAGCAAAGTTTTTGAATCTTTAATTAACAAATACTTAATCTCTTATCTCAAATTTAATAACTTACTTTCTGATTATCAATATGGATTTCAATCTTCTTGTTTTACTGCTGGTTTGCTAACAGTAATAACTGATAGGTTCTATTGTGCATTAGATAGAAGTGGAGAGGTTAAGGCTATCACTCTTGACAATTCTAAAGCTTTTGATGAAGTTTGACATGCTGGTATTCTCCATAAGTTTATTGCTAAGATTATTGAATCCTTACTTAACAATCGTAGTATAAAAGTTATCCTCGATGGACAGCACTCTTCTTCATATTCTGTAACTTCAGGGGTTCCTCAAGGTTCTATCCTTGGCCCTATACTCTTTTTAATTTACATTAACAATCTTCCAGATATTCTTACATCTTAGGTGGCATTGTTTGCTGATGGTACTACCATTTATTCTTGTCTTGATAAGAAGCAAACACTTTCTGATTACTTGGAGGGGGCATTTGAGCTTGAATATGATCATACTTCTGCTCCAGCATGGGGCTCACAGTGGCTGGTGAACTTTAATTCAGATAAAATTCAGTTTTTTTCAGCCAATTGTTACCGCAATAATTTAAATCTTCTTATATTTATGAACGGTAATGTACTTGATGAGTCATCTACCCTTCATCTTCTAGGATTAACTCTTACTTCCAATTTTACTTGGAAACCATATATCAATTCCAAAATTAGCATCTGCTTAGGTTGCATCTTTTTATTGTGCTCAACACTTTCTTACTCCAGATTCTATTCTTTATCTCTATAAATCTCAAATCCATCCTTGTATGGAATACTGTTGTCATATCTGGGACGGATCTTCCAGTGATGCCCTTTCTCTTTTAGACAAGGTGCAAAAACGCATTGTAAACTTAGTTAAACCAGCCCTTGCAGCCAACCTTCAACTATTAACACATCATCATAATGTTGTTTCTTTTTCTCTTTTCTACAATTGCTATAATGGACACTGCTCTAATGAGCTAGTGTCTCTTGTGCCATCTACTAAAATTCATTCCGATGTTACTCGTCATTCAATTAAATTTCATCCTCTTTTCTGTGACTGTTCCTAAGTGCTCCAAAAACTTTTATTTGTCTAGTTTTTTTCCTCAAACATCAATTCTTAGGAATTCGCTTACTTCATCTCGCTTTCCTGATTCATATAATTTGCAATATTTTAAGTCCTCGCTCAATTATCTTCATCTTTTCTCTTCCAGTAACTTCAAACTCTAATAGTGGTTGCTTGCAGCCTTGTTATTTTGAGAAAAAATAATATATATTTATATATAAATAAATATATATGTGTATATATAAATGTATATATGTATATATATATATGTATATATATATGTATATATATATATATGTATGTATATATATATATGTATATATATACATGTATATATATATGTATATATGTGTGTGTGTGTATATATATGTATGTGTATATATATGTATGTGTATATGTATGTGTGTATATATATGTATATGTGTGTGTGTGTGCGTGTGTGTGTGTGTGTGTGTGTGTGTGTGTGTGTGTATAGTATATATATATATATATATATATATATATACGCACACACAAATAATAAATATTTTTATCTTTATATTATGTTTTTTTTGAAATAGTAAAATTGATTTGTATCAGATTAGACGTCTTTAATCAATAATATTTTAATAAATTTGTTTTGTATTAATCAATGGATTATTTTAGGTTCATGAATGGAATCAACGTGCACATTTTTTTCAAGAAAATTGCAATGCAGTTGCAGATATGTTTGCAAAGTTTAATAACATACCAAATAGACGTATACTTCAGCAGTTGTATCCATACATATATGATCTTAAAGAGACTGTTAATAATCTTTCCTCTTTTGTAAAATGGCTTGGTGTGTTGAGATTTTTGAGCAATTTTTTTTTTAATTTAGTATTACTTTTTGCTTATCTACAAAATCTAAAATGTAAAATTTTGATTCTGAAAAGGTTCTGAAAAAAGAAAAAATAGCGGAAAACTTTTTCCCGAAAATCCTGAAGCTTGGTTTTTTCGAGGTGGAATCACAGAAGAAATGCAGGTAGTTTAAATTTTTGCTAATAAAATCATTTTAGTAAAACTTTTGTTTTTGTATCATTAAGAAAGAGTTTTAATGTTTCAACATGATATTATACTTTAGAGATTGGTTCCAAACCCGAAAGAAGAAAAACTGGAATCGCGATACATAGTTCAAACTATACGACCATATCTCCAACATGATAAAGTAAAATGTTTGTTTAATGTTTTTTAGTAATTTTTTGATTTACAATTTCTATTGCTTAACATATTTGAAGCATTTATTAGATGAGGTGTGCAGTATGTTTAGTGGATATAATTTATTAGATGAGGTGTGCAGTATGTTTAGTAGATATAATTTATTAGATGAGGTGTGCAGTATGTTTAGTGGATATAATTTTAAAGAGGAAGTATTTGTGTGGTAAATCACGTACATATAACTATAGTTCAAGATTTTTTCAGGATAAGTTTCCTCCTAAATTTAAAAATGATGATTTTTTTTTTCAAAATAAAAGGTTGGATTGTACAAACTTTGTCTGCACCAATGTGACTTTCCAAATGCTTTTGTAACATACCCAGATTTACCTGGAGACAGGTTTGATATTTTAAAATTTTTAATGTTGCTATTTTTAAGCGATGATGTGAAACTTAAACGTATGTAGAAAAAAAATTTAAACCTAATTTTTGTTTTACTTACTGGCAGTGAATTAGGTGCATTTTTGGAATTTTCACCAGAAAACGTATATGTGATTGAAATTGATGATGTCATATGTGGGTATGGAGCTCTCTGTGAAGATGCAAGATTATTTTACAAAAATATAAGCAATAAATGGCTGCCTTCAGTACGTTTCAATAAATTATTAAATTGTTGCCTGGTTTATATTTTTAATGTTAATATTTTGATTTACTAACCAGTTGTCACTTATTAAAGATACATGAAAGATATAAAACACAAAATAATCCCATCACATGGTCTATTGAAGATGAAGCAATTAATCGACTGTTTCATCCACAAGATGTATCTCCAACTCTTCTCAACAACTATCCAGCACTTCTTACAATTAAAATGAGCAACAAGGTAATAAAAATATAATTATTTTTACAGTTTTTTTTAACAATTACAGTTATAATTACAAATTACTCAATAATGATATTATCTTAATAGCTTAAATATTTTTGCATCATCTGAAAACAGCTACCATCTTGGGTACTATTGTAGACATTGTAGTATTTATGTTAGTTGCTGTTTAATTTCAGAATTAATTTTTTTTTATTATGATGTTATATTTTTTAAGATTGCTTTTTTTAAATGACTTGAATTTGAAATATTTGGACTTCCAAATGTTTCTATTGAAGATATTTTAAAGTTATATATATTTGATTATATATATTTCTATTGAAGATATTTGAAAGTTATATGTCTAAACAAGGTTGTTGATGATGTTACTATTTAAAAAAGGTTATTTCCTTCTAGTTCAAAACATTTAAAATAATGATAATTAAAATTAATCCTGCTCTGTTCTTTAAATTAAATTTTTTTTTGAGTTGTTGTGTACACAAGGAAACATTAAGTTTTTTTTGAGTTGTTGTGTACACAAGGAAACATTAAGTTTTTTTTGAGTTGTTGTGTACACAAGGAAACATTAAGTTTTTTTGAGTTGTTGTGTACACAAGGAAACATTAAGTTTTTTTTGAGTTGTTGTGTACACAAGGAAACATTAAGTTTTTTTTGAGTTGTTGTGTACACAAGGAAACATTAAGTTTTTTTGAGTTGTTGTGTACACAAGGAAACATTAAGTTTTTTTTGAGTTGTTGTGTACACAAGGAAACATTAAGTTTTTTTGAGTTGTTGTGTACACAAGGAAACATTAAGTTTTTTTTGAGTTGTTGTGTACACAAGGAAACATTAAGTTTTTTTTGAGTTGTTGTGTACACAAGGAAAAATTAAGTTTTTTTTTAGTTGGTGTGTACACAAGGAAACATTAAGTTTTTTTTGAGTTGTTGTGTACACAAGGAAACATTAAGTTTTTTTTTGAGTTGTTGTGTACACAAGGAAACATTAAGTTTTTTTTGAGTTGTTGTGTACATAAGGAAACATTAAGTTTTTTTTGAGTTGTTGTGTACACAAGGAAACATTAAGTTTTTTTTGAGTTGTTGTGTACACAAGGAAACATTAAATTTTTTTTGAGTTTTTGTGTACACAAGGAAACATTAAGTTTTTTTTGAGTTGTTGTGTACACAAGAAAACATTAAGTTTTTTTTGAGTTGTTGTGTACACAAGGAAACATTAAGTTTTTTTTGAGTTGTTGTGTACACAAGAAAACATTAAGTTTTTTTGAGTTGTTGTGTACACAAGGAAACATTAAGTTTTATTTGAGTTGTTGTGTACACAAGGAAACATTAAGTTTTTTTGAGTTGTTGTGTACACAAGGAAACATTAAGTTTTTTTTGAGTTGTTGTGTACACAAGGAAACATTAAGTTTTTTTGAGTTGTTGTGTACACAAGGAAACATTAAGTTTTTTTTGAGTTGTTGTGTACACAAGGAAACATTAAGTTTTTTTTGAGTTGTTGTGTACACAAGGAAAAATTAAGTTTTTTTTTAGTTGGTGTGTACACAAGGAAACATTAAGTTTTTTTTGAGTTGTTGTGTACACAAGGAAACATTAAGTTTTTTTTTGAGTTGTTGTGTACACAAGGAAACATTAAGTTTTTTTTGAGTTGTTGTGTACATAAGGAAACATTAAGTTTTTTTTGAGTTGTTGTGTACACAAGGAAACATTAAGTTTTTTTTGAGTTGTTGTGTACACAAGGAAACATTAAGTTTTTTTTGAGTTTTTGTGTACACAAGGAAACATTAAGTTTTTTTTGAGTTGTTGTGTACACAAGAAAACATTAAGTTTTTTTTGAGTTGTTGTGTACACAAGGAAACATTAAGTTTTTTTTGAGTTGTTGTGTACACAAGAAAACATTAAGTTTTTTTGAGTTGTTGTGTACACAAGGAAACATTAAGTTTTTTTTGAGTTGTTGTGTACACAAGGAAACATTAAGTTTTTTTGAGTTGTTGTGTACACAAGGAAACATTAAGTTTTTTTTGAGTTGTTGTGTACACAAGGAAACATTAAGTTTTTTTTGAGTTGTTGTGTACACAAGGAAACATTAAGTTTTTGAACTAATTTTAACTTTACTTGAAACATTCATAGCAAAATTAACTGACATGTAGAGAAAAAATCATCAAGCTGAGATTAGCCTCAAAAAAAATCAAAAGTTTTCCATGAAATGGAGGTTTCAAAACAACAAAAAATTGCATACATTGGTTGGTCACACGATTTCTCTGGATAAATATTGATGCTTTTTGAGTAGCTAACTAATACATCAACAAGTCTTATAAAACAGAGTAACAATGTTTTTTAAAATTTATAATGTAACATGAAGCATATAATGATGTTGCGTTAAATAAGATGGCGTGTTAAGATTTTTTTAAGTTGTGCTTGTCTAGTTTAATTTTGCCTAGGTTGAGTTTGTGGTGGTTTAAATGTTTCAGCAACTTGTAAGACCTTATTAAACTTCAAATTTTGTTTGAATGGTAAAGAACTCATTTTGTTTTATTGATCTAATTACCTAATCTTTGTTTAGTAATTTTTCAAATTATGCTAATATAATGCTAATAATTATGCTAATAAAATTATGCTAATAAAAATTTTTAATTACAATTTATTATTTCTCACATTAATAAAACCAAGAAGTATAGAAAAATTTTTTTTTTTCAGAAAATATGTCTTTTGAAATATTTTAATGTTTAAAAAAAAAATTGTACCTAAAATTATAAATAAAGTTTTTTAACTTAGTTATAGTTATATTATTTTTTTAAACTATAATAATTAGCTATAGACATAATTAAATTATTTTAATTATTAGCGAAAAATATATAATACATATAAATTATAAAAAAATATATGTATTATAAAAAATAATATAACCATGATTGAATAGATATAAAATGTCTTTATTTTTAACCCTTGCCAAATCATTATGAATAATCTTTACCACGCTTTTGTGCCACCCATTGCCACCACAACTTGAGCTATGAAACATTTAAGGAATAATGAAAGTTTTCATCAAATATAAACATTTAAAGTGGTTTTTGCTTTTTAGATAATTCTTTTTTACACAATCCTTAAATATATTATGGTTTTATTTTTTTTTTATGTGTGTGTGTGTATTGAAAACTATATTCACTTAATTTTAGGATATGAATGTCGCTCGAAGACTGCTCAAATGTGTTTGTTCTCGTTTAAAACACAACGTCAATGTTTTTTGTCGTCTTTCTGAAAGTTTAAATCGTCAATATGAGACATTTTACAGAGAGCTAGGTTTTAGCTCTATTCAGTATGACGATTTACCTGTAAATGAGATTTTTTATGGTTGGAAAAAAAACTAAAGAATTTTTTTGCGGATTAATTGTTACATTATAAATAAAATTAATTATGTTTATTACTCGTAGTTTTGCTTTATTAAAACTTTTATCTTATAAAGAAATTGTTTTTTTTTATATCCTACTTTATTAAGAAAGAACTTCTTTAAATGATTTGTGAGCGAAAATTAAACGTTTTTGTTTTTAACATATTGTTTACCAAAGTTCATTATTTTATTTCAACTCCGCAAAAAAATCGCATTCACGTCGTATACCATGAAACTTCAATCGTCGACTTTTTTTTTGTATATTTTGTAAATTGTATCATGTTTTTGCATCATTTTTGTTGCGTTTCAGTTATTTTATGGTAGTTCTTGATTTTATTTTAACATTAAATTGTATCATGTTTTTTGTATCATTTTGATTATATTTTTTATTCGCATTTAAGTAAGGTTTTTTAAGTCTGGAGAAATTTTGCTGCTGCTATGGGTTGGTTTTATTCTTCAGTTTAATATAAAATAAACTTCACTTGCCAGCGGTCCTCGTTTTTTAAATTTAATCTACTGAAATACCACTGCTACCAGCTGATGATCTGTAATCTTCTTCCAGCTTATGACGTAAAGCTACACGGTTTCGTAGCCCTTCAATTGAAGGGAGTTTTCTAGGTTTTCTATAATCGAGAAAATCTGTTGCATTTCTAACACATCCAGTTGGTTTTTTACGAAATAATGATGCTGTTGGTAATGACGGTAAAGGTGTGTGTGGCGATGTAGAACGTGCACCTGTGGTGTAAAATTTATTCAAAATACTAGTTTTTAATTTTAAAACTTTGTTGTTTTTTTTTAATAAATATTTTTTAATAAAAATTTACCTGCGAGTAATTCGGAGACTTTTTTTTGGGCGTTTTGATCATAATAACATGTTAACTCGATAGCGTTTCCGTTCCCTTGCGATTCTTTTATCGTAATCTTTAGTTTCTCTAACTCTAATTGTTTTTCCCTCAAAAGAAGCTCCTTCATTCGAATCTTATCCTCTTCTTTTTTTTTCTCAGCTTCTAGTCTTTGTTCTATTAATTGATAATCTCTCCATTGAGATGCACATCTAAGATTATAAAAATAAATGATTTATGAAATGTTTCGTAATTATTTTTCTACAAAACAATCTTGAACTGATAACTAAAGACAGTTAAATACCATTAACTTCACATTGATTAATGAGACGTTACATAATTGCACAAAATAATTTTTAAGTTTAGAAAACTCAAATATCTTTATAATAAAATGTCTTGTGTGCAACGTACGCGGGTAAAACACGTACAATTACGCCTTTGTGTTTGTGTTGATTTTTTAAATATACATCTCTCTCTTTCTCTCTCTGTTTACATATATATATATATATATATATATATATATATATATATATATATATATATATATATATATATGTATGTAAGTATGTATCATTACTGCACAGTGTTTTGCTGATATCGGCAAAACACTGTGTAGTAATGAAATAGTTAATAGCATTAAAGACCAAAGGAAAAATAGTCATTCAAAAAAGTATTTTTTTTTTATATATTTATTTTGTTACTTTACGTCCTAATAACCAGTGTGCAAATTGTATCAAATGTTTTACATCATCAGATCTTTATAAGAAATGCAATTGTTTTTATATTTTAAACATCGGTAAACAGCTTTAAAATACTTGTAATAATAATTAAGTAAATTTAGCAGATCTCGAAGGAAATGGACACAAACTAGAATTGTTGTTAACACTGATAGAATTCTTGTTAAACTGTCAAAACGGTCCTTGCCCAGTGGGCGTGCGTACGGCAGACGTCTGACGGACGTCCCCCAGACTTTCAGATGTCCTTTATGTTTTTACAAGTCTATCTTTTACTGGTATACTTTTAACTAATATTGTTCGCAATTTTTTTCATTTATCTAATTATTTTTGTGATATAATAACAAGAGCTATGATTTTTTGTTGCCGGCAGTTTAATAGTTTAAATGATTGTTATTAGTGTTATTCTCAAGGAGAAAGAGTTCGAAAAGGGATCTTGTATGACTTATCCATTTTCCGATGTTAGTGTGAATTTTATAGACCGTACAGTTTTTTTTTCGGCTTTATTGTAGCTGAAGTGTTTTATTAAATTTCACCTTAAGTATGACTACCTAACTTTAGTTGTGGAACTGCTGTTGGTGTTATGAAAGATATGTTTTCTTTCTGGTTTGTTATTTTTTATTCTGGTTCTATTTTTTCTAAATGTTACTAATAACCTTTTAGTTTAATGGTTCTATTACGTATCTTTTCTTAAGAACCAACTCATATATATATATATATATATATATATATATATATATATATATATATATATATATATATATATATATATATATATATATATATATATATATATATATATATATATATATATATATATATATGTATATATATATATATATATATATATATATATATATATATATATATATATATATATATATATATATATATATATATATATATATATATATATATATTAAGTTTAACCTAATAATAAAAAGTTTAACCTAATAAATTCTAATTGATTTCAAATATGAACTTTTAATTTTTATTTGACGAACTTTTATATTTAGGCGGGAAGTAACACGTAGGCGCGTTCTTTTTTATTCAAAATGTTATTTAATAACTTACTTTTCACATCTGGTATTTTGATCTTTTCCTACTTTTATTCGAAATGATTTTTGACACATGACGCAGTTAACCATCTTTAAAAACTTTCAAAAGGAAGTATATATTATTCTACATATTTATTTTAAAACCATTCTTAAATTTTAAGATAACCTAAAGACATGCTTAATAGTGCGTGACATTTCAACAACGCTCTCGCGCTAATTTTACCGCGCTAGAGTTAAAAAAGCTGTTTATATGCATAAGCTTGATAAAATAATATTTATTTAAACTATACGTAATGATGATATTTAAATAGTTTACTTCTTCTTAAGTAAAATTATTTTTTAAAAATTAAAAATGAAAATAAAATAAAAATAGATAAAACTAGAACTTTTATTATTTTTATTTTTAGTTGCTTTTAAAAAATCATGCAACAGTGGGTTTAACACTAATAAAAAAAAAAAAAGTATAAATAAGATTTAACTCTAAACTTAAATATTTTTGATAAAGTCTAATTTGCCAAAGATTTTCCATTTTGGGGAAACTTCTTTTAAAAAATTTGTTATTAATTTGCTCCAAGAAGACTGATGGTTTTATCACAGAGAACCGTGGATGAGCTTTCTTCCTTGCTAATAAATGTCTCTTAGCTGATTATTATTTATATTTTTATGTTTTAACAACGTTTTTCCAAAAAAAAAAATACTCTACTTTCCAACATCATTAAAAAAATGAAAAAAATTTAAAAAATATTTCTTATTCCTTTGCCGCCTTCTAATTGAAAATAAGTCATTTTTGATACTGCAATATATGCTATATAAAAATATGCGCTATACAAAAATTAAAACAACTTTTTCCTGGTCATACCTTTAGCTTATTTTAAAGTAAAAACTAAATTTAAAAAAAATGTATAGTATGGAAGTGGGTATACATTTTTAATTATAGACTTTCATTTTTGCTCTAATAAACCCGTCTCCTCATCTAAATACAGCTGCTACTGCTTCTGTAATCAATTTAACATGTCTACACTTTCTACGCTTTGAAAATGGCACGCAAAATCATCTATAGTCAATTTTTGCATATAATGTATTGCATTTTTAAAAATAGGTGTTGAAGTCCTTGGAAGTTCGTCCCAATTTACAAGATTTTAATCAACTGCATCAAATTTTAAGAGATGAATTTCCTTAATTTTGTAAAATTTAAAAACTGAGCAATGTCCTTTTTTATTTATTTATTTTTTATTTAACGAAAACTTATACAGGTTTACTTATACACAAATTACTTCAGAAATAATTCTGTTACCAATGTAAGGCCTGTTACCAATGTAAGACCTGTTACCAATGTAAGACCTGTTACCAATGTAAGACCTGTTACAAAATACAATAAAAGTTAAAAACAATTGAAGTAATACAGTTATTAAAAATGTTATAAAAAACATTATTTAAAGTAAATTTTTAACTTATTTTTAAATTTAGTCAACGAGTTGATTTTTTTATTTTCTAACGATAGATCATTATAGACTCTTGCACCAAAGTGTCATAGAAAGAGCATTTAGCAAATTCAAGTTGGATTTTCGGAATTTAATTGGATTGCTGTTATTTTTTGTTGCTTTGAATGGTTGACAACTTGAAAGTAGTTTGTTAAGTTTGAGCATGATGAACCAAGAATGCATTGCTTTTTTAATAGACAAGATGCAACAAGAATTTACGAGAATGGTAACTTCGTGCTTGCTGTTTAAATTTATTATACGAGATGTGCGTCTATGCAAAGAGTCTCACTTATCTGTTTTTGATTTTGATAAGTTGAGGCAAAGATTTCTACAGGGGTGTGGAGTCGTAAAAAAAAAGTAACGACTCTCCTGTTGTTGAAATTTTTTGAGCACAGCTCCGACTCAGACTCCAACTCCGACTCCGACTCCAACTCCAAAGTAAAATTTTTGAAAAATTCTTTGAATTGTTTAAAAATATAACGCGATAAGTTAAAAATTTCTTTTTAACTTATCGCGTTATATTTTTAGGTTTATTATGAACATAAGGTTAATTGAATGTTTTGTACATGCACGTGCAATACCGAGAAGATTTACTATTGGAGTCGGAGTCGCGATTTTGTTAAGCGACTCCGACTCCAATTCTGCTGAAAATGTCGAAATTCCGTAACTCCGATTCCGACTCCACAACCCTAGATTTCCACAGTAGTTTAAAACGTGTAATATTCAACTGGAAAATATGTTCTGCTGCAAGGGGTGTTTACAAATATTTAATTTTTTTAAGTAGACTTAGTCTACCTTATGCTTTTTATTGTCAAAATAATTACTCATGTTTCGGGTCATGCAAATTTTTCTAACTGCTATTTTTTAAATATAATTTCGTTCATCAATCAACGTTGATATTTAAATATTTTCTGAATGACAAAAATCTTTTATTTCTTTTTTACTTTTATTAATGCAAAACATTACTTTTTTATTTACTAAAAGAAATATTTAACATGTAAAAGTGCATCAACGTCTTTTTACAGCGGTTCTCGACGACGGTCTTCTACGAGTTTCCGCGTTCTTTTTTTTATACATATATTAACTATCTTCACTTGTAATTGTTTATATTATTATATTTTAGCTTGTAAATTTTATGAAATATTAGCGTAATGTTTTAAAATGTAATAAAGAAATGTAGTAAAAAATATGCATTTCTCTGAATGCATTTATCGAATATAAATTAATCACTTTCAGAAAGTAAACAGGAGAACTGTATTAATCACAAAAAACGCTTTTTCCCCACGTATTATTGAGGGTTCAATTTCATAAAGAATCACATCGATGTAAAACTCGAAAAATGTAATCAGTAAAAGTTACAAGCTCGGTTGATAAAGGAGTGTTTGCAACATAAAAACGAAAGATCTGATTTTCTGTTGTCAGCCATCTAGAGCGATCAATGGACTAGGCTCTTATTTGCTAGGCTTTCTTTCACCTTGCTTGATTTTATCGTATCCCCAAAATGAGATGGTTGTAAATTTTACCTGATCAAAAAAAAATTTATGCCAAAATAAACATTTAAACCAAGACAAAATGAAAGTAAAAATGCTTAAAATTCAGAAAGATTTAAAATTTATTTTCGGCGTTTAAAATCGGTGAAAAGTTATTGTGACGCAATCCCATTATTTAATCATAATAGCGTAAAGTTTGTATTCCAAAAATTGATTTTTTTTTCCTGCAGGGTAAGGCATTATGGGATTAATATTCAGACAAAGAATTTTTTAAAAACACAAGTATATTTAATTATACCCAACAACATTTGTATTGATATTAGGGATGTACCAAAGCTTCGGTTTCGGCTTCAGTTTGCCGAAGCTTCGGCAATTTTGCCGAAGCTTCGGTTCGGCCGAAGCCATGGGCTTTTTTTGCCGAATCATGGCTTCGGCAAAATATTTATAAGTTTCTAAGCATTAAACTTTTTTAAGATTCTAAGCTATAGGTTAGAATCTTTAATTACTTTAAAATATTTTTTGGTATGTTACAGTATACTTGGACATTACTAAGGTGGCATTTGACTGAGGAAGACATTTTTTAAACTTTTAAACGACGTCTGTTTTCCAAATAAAAGGTAGTTGAACATTCAAAATACTTCTTTTTCTTTTCTTCTTGACTAAATAACGGCTGCTTAATGAGAAATTTAAATAAACCTCTGGTCTATACAGTTGTGAAGATTAAATGAATCCAGCAACGGTTTTTAGAGGTGGCAAGGCTGTGTGTAGGGCGGCCAAAAACGGCACGATAGCGGATAGAAAGTAAAGTTACTTAATGAAACACATTGATTTTTTTTATAATCTCTCAATATAAGCTGATTTAAACTGTAACGTTATAGTAAACTTTATATAATTAAATACCATAGTTATGATCACTCGAGCTTAGCAACAAAATTTATTTATGCATTAGTTGGTAGTAAAATAATGAAAAATAATTAAAATTTATTTTTTTAGCATTTAGTTATTAGTTAGCATTAACTTCTAAAATCCGAGTTATATTAAATTATATATCTGGTACATACTTTACAACTTTGAAGTCAGAAAAAGATCTTTCGAGCATTTTTTCGAGCATTAGCTGGACATTTCCACCATCTAGTGCTATGGCTAAACTAAAGGAAATTCATATTAATGTTAAATTAAAATTAAAAATTAAATCTGGAAATAAATCTTCATTTGAAATTATTTAGATGTAACTAAAACCTCCGGATTTTAAGTAATAAAAATCATAGTGTACGAGAGTTGAGATATAATACTTGTTAACTATTCTCGAAATTTTTAAAAATCTTTACAAATAAGTTAATTTTAACGCACGAAACAATCCTTATTTAAAAAGTTTGTTTTACTAAGTCTTAATACACAGAAAAGCACAATTGAAATTTAAGTTAATTGCGTTTGTTTTTGATTTTGTACGCTGGATCATTAGTAAAAGTAAATATACCTGCTCCACAAATATAGGTTAATTGATTATTTACAACTTCAATTTTTTTTAAATCGAATACGAATATTGTTTATTTCAATAAACATTATTAAAGGTAAGAAACTAATTAAACTTTATATTTCAATTTTCAGAATGTTATTATAACTTTAAGTTATCCATTAGCGCATTATGGTTACCTCATCGCGAAGTAAAAATCCCTTATGGAATTATTTTAAAGTGAGTGATGAAGATGTTGCAAAGTATGCAGATGGCAAAGCCATCTGCATACTTTGCAAGAAGATTTTGTCTAGAGGAAGTAAAAACGCACACAACATGTCAACAACAAATTTACAAAACCATCTGAAAAAAGTACATTACAATATACATTGCATGATTCTTTCTCAGAAGAAAACTGTTAATCACGAATCTTTACCAGATCCAAATGAAAAGTCTATAAAACAATTTTGCACTACTCGAACAATATGCTCAGATAGAACAAGCTCCGCCGAATCAGTGCAAATCATCATCAGCACTGCCACAGATGAAACACAGGGAAGCTCGCGTGTGTCTAATAACACAATTACCTTTTTTCAAAGAGCATCGACATAGGTAACTCAGATAACTGTAGCTAAATTTATTTACTATTCAGTATTCATGATTTTGTGACTGGATGGGAGCATGTCTTGTCAAAAAATTATCTTTTCTATAGAAAAAAGTTAACTTAACTTATCTAAGCTTATAATATTATAATAAATGTTCTGATGAGGGGGGAATAATACATACCTCTATCCTCCACTTAGATCCGTTGCTGGCTATTGTTAGTTACAAGTTGCTAAGTAATTTATTTAATTCGTTGAATTTGTTTCAGGTCACACTGCAGGAGATTTTGCAAAGAAAAGAATTGTGGCTTGACAATCCTAAGGCTCAAGCTATTACCAAGCTTATTGGAGAAATGATATGTTTAGACTTGCAGCCATACTGTATTGTTGAAGATAAAGGTTTTGCCCGATTTTTAAAGAATCTAGCTCCAAACTATACAATACCTAGTCGAAAGTATTTCTCCACAAAAGTCATTCCACTGATGTATGAAACCATAAAATTCAAAGTAAAATATCAAGCAGATTTCTTAAGTTTAACTAGTGACGGTTGGACCTGTCAGCACACAATTCAATCGTATTACAATTTAACTACTAGATTTGTAACACATGAGTTTACAGTTAAACATGTCATCTTACAAGTTACACACTTCCCTGAGTCGCACACAGGGCACAATATAAGTAAATTCATAAATGAAGCGCTACAATCATGTGAAATTCCCCATCAAAAAATTCATGCAGTTTTAACTGATAATGCAGCCAATATAATTGTTGCCATTAAAGAGTCAAATTTGAGCAATAAACATCTTCCATGTCTGGTACATACTTTACAACGTTGAAGTCAGAAAAAGATCTTTCGAGCATTTTTTCGAGCATTAGCTGGACATTTCCACCACTCATCTAGTGCTATGGCTAAACTAAAGGAAATTCAAAGTCAAATAAAATTGACAGAGCATGACATAATTCAAGATGTTTCCACAAGATGGAATTCGACATACTATATGTTTGAGAGGTTCATTGAGCAGAAAAAAGCTATTACATTGTATTTCATTACCAGAAATCAAACAAATGCAAAAAATCCGACGAAAAATCAATGGCAACTTGCTGAAATGCTTGTATGCATATTAAAACACTTCGAAAGTACTACAAAAGACATGAGTAAAGAAACTGTATGTATATCAGAGATTATACCGTTTATCTATGCAATGGAAAAGTTTCTAGACTACGCTTGTGACACGGCAACTGAAATCAAAACTGTTGTTGATGAACTTAAGAAAGATTTTAACTGTCGTTTTCAAAAATACAAGGATAATGTTTATCTAAAAATTGCGATAATGCTTGATCCTCGTATCAAGTTAAAGTTTGTTAAAGACAAGAATCATAATATGTTTAAAGAAACACTCCATCTAGAGTTCTACCGTTTTTGTTACAAATCTCATTTAGAACAAGTAAAAGAAATTGAATTTGGTGTAGCAAGAGGTAATGGATCAGAAGAATCATTAAGTTCATTTGCAGAATCTAAAATTCATGAGTCCGACTCAGATTTTGATGGCCATGGCTCTCCATTAAAAAAAAAACTAATGAGCATGGACATATATAGCTCGTTCCACCAAATCGGTGCAAATGAGTATGCTCTACAAAATTCAGAAAATTCTGACGGACGAAGAAAAAAGAAAAAAACACTAGTTCAATGGAAAAAACTCTAACTGTCAAAGAAAAATGGTAAAAAAACAGAATCTAATTATGATTTTTATATTGTTTATACATTAAATATTTAAAATTAAATTGGTAATTCTATATTTCATGTTCCTTTTGTATTTTCTATAGCCATTTTAAATTTTTGATTGCATATGACCAATATTAATTATCATTTATCCATGAGATTTTTTTATCTCTATTCTTAATTTCTCTCAATCTCCATTTTTTATATTTCAAAAGACGAATAAGAGCATTCTTTTATTTTGTTTAGTTGATTAAAAATATTTTAAAAATTTAAATCTAAAATCATCACATATATTTTGTGTATCAGCACCGATGAAGTCAACTTCTACTTGAGCCTTCCAATACTGCCAAATGAATGCTCTTATAAGTGGTGGAGTGCATACCGTTTTAAGTGGTGGAGTGCATACCGTTACACTTGCTCTGATAAAGATATTTACAAGTTGAATTCGTCAAAGTTTTCAAAGAACGTTTTGTGCCTCCTTCATCTGTATAAACTGAACGCTTATTTAGCACATCTAGAAACATATTTGAAGCAAAAAGAAACAGACTATTACCCGAACATGGAGAACAGATTGCATTTTTAAATTATAATATGCCTACTTTTATTGAATAAATTATTATTAACTAAATAATAGACTATAGCTTCTTAGTTCAACTGATTCAACTTTTTAACAAAATTTAAAATAAATACCAAATTTTATAATCAAATTAAAATAATGACTACTTTTATATTTTTTACATTTTACGTGTTTACATTTTTATGAATTCTTTCAAAGAATTGACCATAGATTACCTTAAGTATCAGTAAATGTCTAAGATTTAGTGATGTAATCTTTCCTTTACCTGCTAGATATATAGAGTTAAGACTCTAAATTTCCCTCTAAATTTTTGTACAAAGTTTGTTTAAATTTTTTATAATATTGGTTTTGTTTTATAATGTTCCTAAAATGGGCTTGTAGGCCAAAACATACAAACCTAAAGAAAATTGTATAAAAATAATGAAAAATTTATTAGTAAATTATAAGTATATATACATATATAAATAAATATATAAGTAAAGTATAAAAATTAAAAATAAAAATAACAAAAAAATTAACAAATACTGTACTGTAAAAAATATTGCACAAATTATATTAACAAAAAATGAAATTATACAATGGAGCAAAAAGTATCATCAAGTAACAAAATTTTGTTGTCTTAAGTTTAAAGTCTTAAGTTTGTTGTCTTAAGTTTGTTGTCTTAAGTTTAGCAAAGTCTTTTAAAAATTAATCTGTTTCAATTGTACAAAGACCTGGAGTTCAATTGCTAATATAGCAATCAATATAGACGGTCATAAAGGTCAATCGAAGGTAATTTTTTATAACCTTCAATTTAGAAAAAAGTCTGGCCACTGATACCGGGTAAGCAAAATTTTCAATGCTATATAGACATTAGGAATGATGTCAATCAAACGGCTTTTTGTAATATAAGACAGTGTTGTTTTAGGGCAGCTATTGTTCAGCAACATTTGAGCTAAGATTAAAATTTCACCTAACAGTTCATTCCTATTGGCATCACTCTTGCTCTCAGCTGTCAAAGTGGAATGCAGATTTTTGCACTTTTCTTAAATTGCATCTGTTTCACAATTTTCTAATTTTTTTTTTTTTTTTTTTTTTTTTGTGTGTAACTGAGGAATTTTAAATGTTTGCAGTGATTTCCCATCTGTTTAAATCTTTATGACAAAGAACTAATAACAGTGTCTAAATTACAAAAAAGAAGTTTAATTTGAAAGACTCCTTCGCCGACACCGGTTCATATTTAACTTCATAAAAAATTGCCTTTTGACCTCTCTCGGCCAGACCAAAACTTGATCAGAGAACTTTGTATCAATGTCCAGTTTTTTGGTCAGTTCTATTGTATCTGTAACAATACAGCCCATAATCCGAACTCTTGCTCTTCAAAAAAGTCTTAACACTTTCTGCAGATTTCAACTGAAGTATTTTGCTTACGAAGTTAAATTTAAACACGACATCATACCAAGTGAGAAACAGCAGAGGAATTTGAAATCTGTAATTTTCTTGGCGATTCCCATAGCGATGCATTTCCAGAACCATCAATCTTAGAATCTAACATGGGTTCATAGACAGCGTCGTAAACCACATTATATGGTATCGCAAAAGTTCAAGGTTGTCTATTCTGCTCTGCCAACGGATTTTTCACTTAAAGGTTTTACATTTAAATCTTCATGATTTGTTAATATACTCCATTTAAGAGTTGATCCAGTAAAAAATTTATAAGCCTCAAAACTTTTTTCAATGTGCCAACTCAAATGCTTATATGATAGCTTTGGAGGGGTGGGTGGGGGAGGGGAAATACTCCCTACACCCCCCGTTCGGGACGATCCTGCCTTTACCTGTACTTCTTCTCCTGAAACTACATAGACAAGCCGAACTACAAGTGTCATTTGTTCTTTACGACTTATGTCAGTACCCGAGAAAAAAAAACCCGCTAATACTACTAGGAATATGTTTAACTTCCTGCTAATCCTGTTAAGTTCCTGCTAATACGGCTAATCCTGGTAAGTTTTCGCTTAATACGGCTAAACCTATTAAGTTTCCCATAAGTGAAATGACGTTTATGAATTTCCTGCTAATCCTAGTAAGTTCCTACTAAGTACTTATCAGGATTAAACGAATTACTTAGTAAGTTCCTAGTAAGTTTTCAAAAATAAAACAAGTATAAAAAATCGTTTTTGTTATACGCCATCTTTTATTTATTCACACGGAAAATACTAATTAATATTTGTAATTCTATAAGGAAAATATATATGTATACATATATAAAAATATATATATGTATATATATATATATATATATATATATATATATATATATATATATATATATATATATATATATATATATATATATATATATATATATATAAATATATATATATATATATATATATATATATAATATATATATATATATATATATATATATATATATCCTGCAAAATTCAGGTTGGTAATGCCAACGCAAAAGCCAACCTATTTTTGTTTCACGCCGGTATGCAACTGCTGACCTAAATCTTTGTAACAAGTAGCAAAAGTAATTTTTTTGTCCACCTGACAAATATTTATTATTTTGATAAATAAAAAAATGATAATTTTGAAATAGACAAAATAAAAAAATAAAAACTAAGAAAAATTTATGAAGATTTTTTCTTATATAAAAAGATGTTCATCAAAGTCTTTTAGATCTTTTTAGTCTAATAGACCATAAAATTGCCACATTTTTTTCGACGGAAGCCAAAAAATTTGAATAATGAACTTGTTAAGTGGAAAGCTCAAGAGCACAAGTATTTTCTATTGTATTATGGGCCATTTGTTTTTTACAAACTTGGTAATGCTGAAATTTGTTCTCTTTATTTAATGCTTTCAACATCTATTTATACATTATCCAATGAAATTGTTTCATCAAATGATATTGATACTTGTCAGCAACTAGTTTATTTATTTCAAAAGGCATTATGCCCCTATTTCGGTGAAGGTATTTGCACATTCACTTTTCATGCATTGGCGCATCTCTCTGACCAGGTAAAAAATTTTGGACCTCTTACAGCAACGTCTGCTATGGTGTTTGAAAATGTAAATCGCCAACTAAAGAGGGCTGTTACAGGAACTAAAGGCCATGGAAGGCAAATGGCTGAAAAATTTATTAGATTTCAGACGGAAGACCACTTAAATACTTTTTCTTTGAATCCTTTTGTGTTAGGTGCAGCACAAAATATATCAGATAAGTTGCTAATCCTACTAAGTTTCCTACTAAAAACTTGCTAATCCTACTAAGTTTCCTACTAAAACTTGTTAATCCTACTAAGTTTCCTACTAAAACCTGCTAATCCTACTAAGTTCCTAGTAAGTACTCGGCGGGAACTTACTAAGTTTTAGTAGGAAACTTATTAGGAACTTAACAGGATTAGCGGGTTTTTTTTTCTCGGGTAGTGCATTCCAAATAATAGGATAATCTAAAGCTTTCTGCAGTTCACACAAGATAAATTTGGTAACTTTACAGGATAGAGGACAATTAAACTCTGAATTTTGATTTTTTTGGATTTTTTTGTCTAAATGAT